CATGGCTGGCTCAATCTCACTCTCTTGGCCATTTGTATTGACATAGCAACCTTGTGAGCTTAGCCAAAGCCCTCCCACCCATCTCCATCATTGATTCATCATCTTTGTGAGATTAGGAGAGAATCCAAGTGCATTGCTTGAGTGATTGCATCTACAGGCACTTGGTATTCGTGTTTTGCTGTGGATTTCGCTTGTTGCTCTTGGTGGTTGCCACCACCTAGATGGCTTGGTGCAGCGGTGGAGGATTGGCACGAGTTGGTGATTATTCGTGGCCATCTCCGGTGATTGTGAGGGGATTTGTACCTTCCCCGATGGAGCGCCGAAAGGTAACTCTAGTGGATTGCTTGTGTCATTGAGTTACCTCACTTGTGGGTAGGTTCTTGCGGTGTCCAATCGTGTGGATGAGGTTTGTGCAACACCTCTTAGCCGCCGAACTACCAAGTGTTGGTCAACATAACGGGGACGTAGCGTGTTGGCAAGCACGTGAACCTCGGGAGAAAATCGGTTGTCTCTTGCCTTTGGAATTCTCCCGGTGATTGATTTCATCTTCATCTTGTGATTGGTTCATCCCTCTACACGGCGGTATAATTACCCTACTCACTCTTCTATATTTTTGTAAACTAGTTGTGGCAAGCTCTTTAGTGTAATTAGAATTGAGAGCTGGTTTGTTATTTAAGTTTATCTAGTGGAGCTCTTTAGTGTAGCAAGATTGAGAGCTCTTAGTGAGTAGTATCGTAGTAAGTCATGTGTCTAGTAATCATTGCAACTAGAATTATTGGATATGTGGCTTGCAACCCTCGTAAAGCTAGAGCAAGTTTGCATTTCACTATTTGTCTTACTAATCAAATTGCTCTAATTAATTTGTAGAATTTTAAATAGGCTATTCATCCCCCCTCTAGTCATATTAGGACCTTTCACCTAGATGGCTAGGTATCGCCGGAGAGCACCCAAGAGCTTGTGGTGTGCCTCAAATAGTTTGTAACGGTTCGATTCCACCGTCGCAAAGGAAGGGACCATCTAGTGGAAGGAGGAAAAGGAGTTGCAAAAGACTCTGGCTAGAGTGGCCTTCGTGGTCTTTTAGAGCTGACCTTTGTTGGGTCGCTCACAGCCCCCTCAACGAAGAGTAGGTCTCGACAGAGGCCAAACTTCGGTAAAACAATTCTTATGTCTCGATCTCTTTTTTCGCTTAGCATTTGTGATCTACGTGTGTTGCTTGAGCTTGTTGACAGATCACTAGTAGGTGCCAGCAAAGTGGTTTGAAAAGAGAAGTCAATCGGAGTAACTCAGGAGCTGATCCAGCAAACCCGTGAATATCGGACGCGTCCGATATCAATATCGAACGTGTCTGGTATTTGGGCTTGCGCTGTATTTGTTTATTCACTGCTCTAACTTTGTGTTGCAGGGTTGTAGCTTCTAAATATATTATTTATACATTGAATTCTCTGTTGGCTAACTCATAAGGGGTTTATTTATCTGATTTAGAGTTTTGAAGTAATTGAAATCTCCAACATTAATCGTTTATGTATTTTAAAGGATCGAATTTTCAGATTCGTCTATTCACCCTTTCTAAACGGCATCCTTGGTCCTCTCATGCAGCCACGCCCATGCCCGTCTTCCCAGCTCCTTCTCTGCGACCGGCAGCTTGCTAAGGCAGCACCGGCCGGCTGCACCCGGACGATCCAACGTCCTTTTACATTCACTACAGTGTACAGTGAGTGACTCCGCAGCCAGATCAGGTAGGCCAGTGCGCACGTACAGTACGTAGTACAGTGAGTACGTATGCTGTGTAAGATTCACTCCAACGTACACCACACTGCATTTTCAGACGATCGAGCTAGTACTGTGTACGAAGTATATATACTATACGCGTAGAGATTCAATTCAGATTCCGCCCAAGAAAACAACAGATACGTAAATACAAGGAGTATTCTCCTATACTTATATTGTACTACTATACAATAATATATATACTGTGCAGCGGCCCCTCGTTGTGTACGTACGCGTCTTTGGGAGATACGCACTTAATTAAAAGCGTACGTACGTCTTACTCAGATCCATGCACAAAACAAAACTTCCAGGTAGAAACGACACTTGCTGCTTTCCAAGTATATAAGTCGTTCCCGATGAGCAAGATGTCGCTTGACCACCATAGCACCTCGGCTCTGTTGGGGAGGATTTCTCTTTTCCTCCGTCTTGCTACATCGTATAAAATTTCTTAGAACTACGTTGACATTGTACTAGCCACGTACCACGTGTGCTAGATTACATGGACAGGAAATGGCTGAATACGCGTCGAAACTCAGAAAAGCTGAGCTACTTTTGCAAAGTGTGAAAAAAAAACGACCCGAGCTGGTTTTCTCAGCCTCCTAGCTCACAAACGTCTTCCTAGAAACAGAGGTGCGTTTATTCTAGACGGAGAGAGCATACGTGTTGTTGGATTTTAGTTACTTAAAACTCCATCTACATATTTAGTAAAACAGCTAAATAAAGTACATTACCTTAAAAACAAGTACATCACTTATTTAAAAACACAAAAACATTCTAGAGATAATTTCCATATATTATAGGCATGTTTGACTACAAGAGCTAATTACTAGTTAGCTAAAAATTAGCGAAAATTAGCCCTAGCACAACCAAATAGAAAGGGCTAATAGGTGAGCTATTTTTCCCGTCAAGCCTTCAATTAGGTATTAGCCAACTAGCCAGCCTTAGCTAATTTAAGCTAATTTTTAGTACAACTAGTAACTAGCTAGCTCATCCGATCCAAACAACCCTGATATGTATGTTTTGTTGGGTTTTACTCGTCGGAGTGTTTTGGTTACTTGTAAAACTGCATCTACATATATTTAGTACAACTGCTATACCCCTATGATATTAAAATTATAAATTATTTTGTCATTCTAGTTAGTCATTTATTAAACTTTGATTCATCCATCCATATACGAAAATTATACAAACTGACAACATCTGTTGTTGATGATGCAACTAAGTTTATCATAAAAATATTTAATAAAATATAATATCATTTATCCATAATATGGTTTTACACAAATCAAGTCAACAGGCTCCATCTCGGAGACCGCAGGGATACCTTAAACCATTTTTCGTTTGGAGTTGGATGGACTGTACGCGAAGCCGTTTAGCCCGTTTAGCGTTTAAAGTCTGTATGTAAAACCTACGTAATGGTAAACCGTTTCAATTTAATAGTCCGTTAATTCCGTTTAAATGCCCGTTTAGTCTAAATGATAACGAAATGTGAGGTAACCGATCGTTTACCGTTTGACATATAGAAAAACACTAGTTAAATATTATTTAATTGATGATTCTTTTTGCGAATTACAGATGAAATTTTATTTAATGAATGGTAGAGAAAACAAAAAATAACATGACCGATAAAATTATAAAATCACGTAGTTTATCTCTATCTCTACACCTATAAAGACTCTAAAGTAATCACCTACCCGGTGATACCAAATCTCGCTCTTGCTCATGTATCCACATCCTATACGAATAATTCTTTCCTCGGAACTTACGCGTCCGCATCCTACCCGGTTCAAATACGAATACCGGAGTCCGCATCTAATAAGAAATCCTCGGAGCTCACACGTCTTGATCGGAGTAACGAGGTTCAGTCAAATAAAAATTATGATCACGGTGCAAAGCTCGAGCATACATCTAGTACAGTGTATCAAGAGTCGAGACTCAAGACACAAATCCGTGCCCTCGATTTTCCCCTCCGTATACCGTACCGTATACGGTACACGCCTATACATACATGAATACATCCACCAGCAGCAGCACAACACAATTGCAACAAGCAACAAGCACAAACCCATTGCCAGAATCCAAAATCAAAAGCATCGATTTGACCTCGGCATCATCCCGCACCGCCCCGCGCCCCCCGCCTGCATCCCCTTCTCCTTCCCCTCCTGTCGCTTTCTCTCTCTACAGCTTCCATGGCTCTCTCCCCCCTCTTCCGAATACTCTTTCCCTCTAGCCTTCACCTTTTTATCCATATAAAAGGCTGAGGTTCCAGAACAACCAGCGGGTTTGAAGTTTGAACTCAGTCCCCCCGCAAGCTCTCTCTCTGATCAAATGCGGCGAGATCTGTGTGAGTAAGGGTGAACACCACCACGGGTCTCTCGCCCTCCCTTCCGATCCTTTTGCATTTGCTCCCGGGCGGGCGGCTGCTCCGGGAGAGCGCTTCTTGAGCTACTCTGGTCAGTTCTTGGAGCCGCCGGCAGCTGCCAGTTGGGATTTTTTTGGTGAGTTTTGCCTGCCATTTCTGGGTTTCAGTTCTTTCTCTTGCTTGCAAGATTTCCTGTGGTGATTTTGGTGAGTTCTTGGACTTGGAGGCTCGCATTGGGTTTACATTAGTGCTCGTCCTGTTCAGCATTTCTCTCTTGGACCTTTTCGGGTTGGTATTTGAGTTCTTTGTTGGAAAAAAATATACTAGTTTTTTTTCCTGGGCTTCCAGTTGTCTGCTTTTGGATTTCAAACAACGGGGAACACTTGCCTTTTCAGGATCTACTAGTATCGGGCATTTTCATGAGCTCGTCAGTTTGGCATTTGGGGTTCAAAGCTTCGCGTTATAGTTCAAACAAAATGGATAACTTCAACATTGTCGGCTAGTTTTGTCCCGCAGTTCATTTCGCATCACGTGGCGACACTTCCTTTATTTTTCGTATCCGCACTGAAAATTTGTCGCCATTAGGACCATTAAAGTTGTGCTTTCTAATTTTTTTTAACTACAGTACATATACTGCCCCTGCAATAATGAAGCTGTACAGTCCTTAAATGCACTTCTTTAAGTCAAAATTACCGAGCCTACAGGCAAACGATTAATCTTGAGCCCTCAAGTTAATTGTTTCCTTCTTTGTTTTTTCCACATTTTATTCAGTCCAAATCACAGCAATGCTAAGGAAAATCGTTCTGATTTCTTGCATTTTCTTTTCAGGACAGGGGAACAAAAACGAGCAGCTTCCTGAGCTTAAGACAGCATGGATCAGTACGAGGTGCTGGAGCAGATCGGTAAAGGAGCATTTGGCTCTGCTCTTCTGGTCAGGCACAAGCTGGAGAGGAAGAAGTGAGACCACTACACTGCTTTAACACTTTTTTGTATCCCCCATCTTATTCCACTTTGATCATTGGGAGTCTGAACATGCGCAGGTATGTGTTGAAAAAGATCCGTCTTGCGCGTCAGACAGACCGCACTCGCCGGTCTGCCCACCAGGAGGTATAGGCAGCTGCTGCTTTGCACGGATCAATTTTGCGCCTACTAGTTATGATTCACAAACAGTGTCTTTTGTTTACCAAGAATGGCTTGTCAATGTCAACTCTCCGTCCAGAATGATTAGTGCTTGCCAGGGTTTGGTTTCCCACAAACTGTTGCTCTCATGATGATGCTACTGCTTACCAAACTGAGATCTGAACTTAAACGTTCTGATAGCAATGTTTCTGTTACACTAAGCAAACTGAAATATCATTGCAGATGCAGCTCATTGCTACAGTGAGGAATCCATTCATTGTGGAATACAAGGATTCATGGGTGGATAAGGTTAGTATAAGAGTAAATAGGAAAACGAGTTACTTTTTCTAGCGTTATGATACTTGGCAATCCTTAAAAGAAAGATTAAAAAAATCCTGAAATATGCTTGCATGAGACTTCCGTTGAAACTACCAGGAGTATTTTGGAGCAAGTTGGTAGTATGGACTATGATTTTACATCATTTTTCACTGTATGTTTCAATTTCAGGGTTGCTACGTCTGCATTGTTATAGGGTATTGCGAGGGAGGAGACATGTATGTATCTCTCTGAGGTGAAATATGCTATTAGTGCTTCAATCGATGAACTTCTAGAACATTTTGATCCCTAACATGCTTTTTTACCAGGGCTGAAGCTATTAAAAGAGCTAATGATACCCACTTTTCTGAAGAGGTACAGTTCATGAATTAATCTTCATTGAAATGTTTTTGGGGGATTCCTGGTAACAAAGGCATGCATATGAACTGTTTTCTCACTCTGCAGAAGCTTTGCCAGTGGTTAGTGCAGCTTCTCATGGCCCTTGACTATTTGCATGCACATCACATTCTTCACCGTGATGTGAAGGTAATAGTTTTGCTATGTTTGAAGTACATCATGCGTGTTTTTGTACAATGTGAAAATATGTTTTCTAAAGCTGATCTTTATTTATTTCAGTGCTCGAATGTATTTCTTACTAGGGATCAAAATATAAGACTTGGTATGTCAGTTATCACTACTCTATACAAGGCAAGCTTTCTAGCAAGTACATAATTTTGGGCGCAATTTAATTTGCCTTATAAACAAATGCAGGTGACTTTGGGCTTGCAAAAATTTTGACCGCTGATGATCTAGCATCCTCGGTTAGCACTTACAACACTTCACTTCACTTGATTCTGTTATTCTGCACCATCATTTTCAGTCACCACTCAGCACATATTGCCCTGGTGCAGGTTGTAGGAACACCAACCTATATGTGCCCAGAACTTCTGGCTGATATACCTTATGGTACCAAATCTGACATTTGGTCACTAGGTAAGGCATCGGTGAAAATGTAAGAAATGTCGAGCACATGGTGCTTTGGTTATGGGTTGGACTGTAATTCATGTTTGGTTCTGTTTCAGGATGCTGCATGTATGAAATGACTGCACTCAAACCTGCTTTTAAAGCTTTTGTAAGTTCTGAAAATTCTTTTATTGACTGCTTATTTGTTGCCTGTGCATGCTATTTGATTAAATGGTTAAGTACTTAAGTAACTTCATGTATGTTTTTCTTCTGCTGTGTTCGACTTATGTGGGTGGCTTTAGCTAGGTTCGCACTGTTTTTATGCTGTATATGTTACTGCTTTGGAGTTTGAAACGAATTCTGGGTGCAACTGAATGTTTTGGCAGCCCTGATTTGGAATCTGCATATAGAAATTGATGTGCTTATCTGACCTAATGGTTAGATAACCTTGCGGCTTAACTAATTCTCCTTTCATCATTTCTTTGACAGGATATGCAAGCCCTTATCAACAAGATTACCAAGTCGATAGTATCACCTTTGCCAACAAGATATTCTGGTGCATTGTGAGTTTATTGGTTTTATGTTTTTTTTTTCTGTTTACTTTTAGTTTACTTGTGGCATTTTTTTAACAACTTTTCACCTTATGCAGTCGAGGACTTGTTAGGAGCATGCTACGGAGAAGTCCAGAGCACAGACCAAGTGTAATAAGACTTTATAACCCTCTTAGAGAGCAATTATTTAAGACAATGTTTTCTAGGCCTCTATGAGTCCTTACATAACTTTCTTAAGCAGGCAGCTGAACTACTTAAGCATCCACATCTACAACCGTACGTGCTGCAAGTGCATTTGAAATCACACCCTTCCCGCAGCATAATTCCTGTTCATCAATCTTCAAGTGAAAAGAGAATGACATTCACCACAGAGCCTGATTGCAGAAGCAAGAGCAGGAGGAACTCTTTAGGCAGTGAAAGGATAGTAACCTTTAGCACACCTTGTCCTGATAAAAATTCTATCAGGTCTATTAGGAGTATAAAGGACTACACCACCACACAGAGTGTCAAAGAGCTATCCATTGATGACAGCCAGGTTGAGGTTACTAGTAAACCCGTAGCATCAAGGACCTCAAATGTCGTGAAGACTCCGTGGAAGATGATGACAACTCTAAGGAATCGGCTAGAAGCTCCACAAGCATCATATGATAGAACAAGTCATACAGAGGTATGTAATAAAAATCAGTTGAACCCTGTTTATAACATCCTTTAATAGGCATGTGATATTTCCGAGTGGGTAACTGCATATATATCACGTACTCTCTCAGATCCCTAATGTAGACCACTTTAGGATTCTAGTCAGTGAAACTTCTTTTAACTTGACCCATCAAAATATAAATAGTCAACTTGTTTTAGTTAAGGGATAAAATTATCCTAACCGATGCGTCAACAAATGATGCACAAGGACATCTATTATTACATCTTTGAAACACACAACGGAATAAACGAAAGCACCTAGACATAACAAAAGTGCACATATCCTATTAATGAACCTCCACCTATGCTTGGCAAAGATGTATCACCATGGCTTCCAAACATTGGCATGGCGTTTTTATGTGTTGCCACTGCAGAAGATCCACAGACCAAACATTGGCAATTGATATCTCCATTTAGTTGTCATACTGAACTTCAAGTTATTTTGTTGTGTGCGTGAAGATGATAGTTCCTTGATACTGAAACTTGTGTGTTTTCCTTTTTCCCATTTCCATCAGCAGTTTTCAAGAACACCAGTTGACAACAGGCACAGCCATCTGGCCCGCAGAGCATCACTTCCCCTGCCAGTATTTGAGACCCCGAACCCGAAGCGCAGCAGCATGAGCATCCTGGAGCAGCTGGAGTCCCCTGACGTCTCCGTGAACTCGCCTCTCATCGACAGGATCGCCGAGTTCCCGCTAGCTTCGTGGGAGGACCCCGTGTTCTCGATCGTGAAGCCCTCGACACCCACCACCGGCGGCTCCTGCTCCTTCGCCACGCCTCCGTTCGTGGACCGGTCCCTCACCAAGGACAAGTGCACGGCCCAGACGCTCCGGTCGGCAGCCGCCGACGGTGACAACGGCAGGAGCGATGACGGCGTCGGCGGTGACTCGTCTTCGGGTCGCGACACCACGGCGGCGTTGAGCCGCGGGTCCTCGGGGTGGTTGCTGCTGAGACAGCAGCCGAAGGGGCGGTTCGACACGACGTCGTACCAGCAGCGCGCGGAGGCGCTGGAGGGGCTGCTGGAGTTCAGCGCGCAGCTGCTGCAGCAGGAGCGGTACGAGGAGCTCGGGGTCCTGCTGAGGCCGTTCGGCCCCGACGAGAAGGTGTCCCCCAGGGAGACGGCCATCTGGCTCACCAAGAGCTTCAAGGAGGCAACGGCCACAGGCTTGTAGCTTGTAGATGGCCGGACGGCAACACCACTACACCAGTGCTGGCGTGTACGTCCAGGTAGGCTAAGAGAAGAGATAGGCGTTAGCGTTTAGTTGCTGGGAGTGGACACCGTCTCAGTGTTGCCCCAGCTTAGTTTATTGCTAGCAGTTCTTGGTTACTGCCGTGCTAGCTAGTGATGTACCAAGGCCCCCAGTCCCCGGGGAATTAGCAGTAGAGCTAGAGCTGAAGGAGCCTTGAGCTAGGATTAGTGAAATGAAATTCCTGAACTGTGATGTAACCCAAGGTTGTACTACTTGTAACACCAACTGGGGGCCTCAGAAGTAGGCGGTAGTTTCGTATCCAGCAGTGCTGACTGCTGAAGAACATTCAGACATCCAGGGATTCAGGCTCTTTCGATTGCTACGCACTATATCTGCAGCTCTTGCTCCTGCAATTGAGGGGTGTGGAGTGCCTGGTGTCTTTTCGCTAGTCATGGTTCATGGATACGGCTAGCCAGTTGTGCCGCATGAAGGCACACCCAGAGCACGAGGTCATATTTCGTGTGCTGGTGGCATATATACATGTCATGTTCGTTTGGCTTATAAGCCGTATTTTTTTAGTCAATAAATAGTATTTTTTCTCATGATAAATCGGTCTAACAGTATTTTCAGGCATGGCGAACGAGGCAAGCGAACAGGGCAATAGCAAAGAATACGGATAGCCCAATTCTACTTTGGCGGTCGTTCACCGCTTTCTATTCGAGCAAACGATTCGACCGCGTTGTCTCCTTTCCTTTTTCGTCCTGCTCCCTTTCCTTTTCTGTCCAAAGCGGGCGTCGTCCGAAATTTCATTCTGAAATATCCCCCCCCCCCCCCCCCACCCCCACACACACACACACACACACGAAGCAGGTGATTTTGAACAGTGCCATTTCATCTTCTTCCTCATCACTCTCCTCTTCAGGGTGACCTCGCCGGATTTGATTCGAGGGATCCCTGGGTGTTCTCCGGGATTCATCGCGAGGTATCGCTGAGTTCTCTTCTCTCTTATTTCTCCGTCATTCCAGTTATCGGGGGATTCAAGTTGAGGTGTTCTAGGTCTTCTCTTTCTGAATCCCCATGGCGCCACGGGCCGTCCAGGCCCTGCTGACTGCCACCTCCCTCCTCTCCTCTCCCCCCTCCTCCTCTGCTCCTAGTTTCCTCCCCAGCCCTGCACGGTTGCCGGGGGTTCACTGCCCCCGGACCCGACCGCGGCTCCCGCGCCAGCGCCGCCGTCTCGCCTCCGGACCCTTCCTCCCCTGCCCTGCGCGGCCGTCGCGGGTTCACTGGCTCCGGCCCCGACCCCGGCTCGCGCGCCGACGCCGCACCACCACCCGCCCCCGCCGAGCCCGTTGCCTCCGACGGTATAAATGTCCATTCGGGCCCCGGCACGGCCCGGTAGGGCACGGCACGGTAGAGCACGACGGGCCGCCAGGCCGTGCCGCCCCAGTCCACCGTGCCTGGCCGACGGCCCAGGCACGGCCCGTCGGGCCACTTTCCGTGCCGGGCCGGCCCAGAAAGCACGGCCTTTTTAGCAGGCCAAGCCGGCCCGAGGCCCGCATCAGCAGGGGAAGGGAGAGAGGACGGAGGACGAGGTCGAGGCGCTGTCCTGCGGCCGTGGTGGTGCTCGAGGCGACGTCGTGGAGGAGGACGCGGAGGCGGTGATGGCGTTGAGGCACGTGACCGCGTGGAGGAGGCTGGGGAGGTGATGCGGAGGCACCGGGCACGGTCGGCGGCAGCCTCAGATCGGCCGCGTGCTCCAACGGCGGCAGCTGCCTTAGATCGGCCGCTTGAGGCTGCCGCGCTTGAGGCTGGTGCCTGCGGTGCGGCCACGCGGGACTGCGGGAGGCTTTGACCACAGAGGAGGAGCATGCGGCCATTGGTGCGGGAGGCGAGGAGGTGGCCGCCGTCGGTGGTGCGGGCGTGGAGGAGGCGGCTGTTGGAGCGGGGGAGATGAGGTCGCGACTGCAACCCGTGTCCACGCGAACCTAGTGCCGTAGTGCGGCGCGGGATGAGGATGCGGTAAGCCGTAAGCGGCGCGGGGATGGGGAATTGGGGACGCGGTAAGCGGCGTGGGGATGGGAACTTGGGAAGGGAGTTAGGGATTCAGGGGGTGGGGGCGGGCCGAGCAGGCTGGCTGGCCGGGCCGACTAAGGGAGCAGGCCGGCCTTTGGGAGGGGAGGAGTGAGGAGGCGGGGAGGCCGGGCCGACCGTCGAAGGCCGGGCCGTGCCGTGCTAGCCCACGGGCCTGAGCAGCGGCCCAGGCATGGCTTGCTCCCTCGGGGCGGGCCAACCTGGGCCCGCACGTCACAGGGCCGGGCCGTGCTCGTGTCGGGCTAAAAAAACGGGCTTCGTGCCGTGCCATCGTGCCTCGGGCTGCATGGACATTTATATCCGACGGTGAGGCCGTCAACACGGTGGCACCTAGTGTGTAAAACGGACGGGATGGATCCCGTTCCGTTCGCAACCGTTTACCGTTTTATCCCGACCGTTTTCGTTTTTTCAGGAAACAGGACCGAAAAACGGGACGGGATGCACCGGGACCGGGATCGAAAACGGGATGAGGGTTTTTCCGTCCATATTTACGGAATACCGTTTTTGACCGGGATAATCCCGTATTCATCCCGTTTACAGCTTAGCCGGAATAACCTGCTGGCCTGCTTCGTAAACATGAGGCCTACTAGTTCGGCCCATCTATTTCATCTCCGTATCCTGTGCCTTTTGCTAATTACTTGTAGGAGAAGCCTGCTACTGCTAGTGCGAACTTTTCCATGCTGTTAGTGTGTTAAAAAAAACGTATTGATTGCTGGTGTGTGGCCGTGGCCCATGTGGCATGCAGCACTTCCGTATAGGGGTATAGCACACAGTACAGGCGCTGAGGCGCCTAGTATCAGCAGCACACGCACGAACGGTAAGCAAGCTAATGAGCAGATTAGTCCAAGTGATTTATGAGGTGTCTTAAATTATTTATTTATTCATTCCTTTTACAAAGGAATTGTTTATTAACTTTAATATATGTGTGAGAGTTCATGTGGCATGTAATCCCGGTCTAAGTTCCCGCTTACCGTCCGTTTCCGTCTATTTTCCTATCGTATTTACCCGTTTTCGTATTACCGTTTATCCCGCTACTGTTTCCGCTTCCGGCTGTCCAGCTCCCGCTCCCGTTTCCGTCAAAAAAATATGAAAACGAAAACAATAGAGGTATTTTCCGTTCGTTTCCGTCCGTTTTCATCCCTTAGTGGCACCTGCTCAACTTCCGCGAGCTATTCGTGATTGTGCTCGCCGGCGTGTTCGTCGCAACGCAGGTGGCGCTCGCCGCGTTCCTGCTGGCCCTGGGCACGCGGCAACGGCGGCGAGCAGCATCCGTAGGGAAGGGCAAGGATGTGGAGTTGCTTACAATTTGTGGTTGGATTTATTAAGTGATTCTGTTTTTTTTTTCTTATGAAATACATTTGGTTTATTTTTAGATGGCTGATCAAGGAGATAGTGATTCTGATGGAGTAAAGTCCACATCAATCGCTGAGTTGGAGTCTTCTAGAAATGATGTAAGAAGTTTGTTTGCCAATTTCTTTCTTAGTTTTGTTTAGTTCAAGTATCAGTCAGATAAGTTTATTTATTTATTTGTCTTCTTTAAAATAGTTCTGTTGATGCTGTTGTTGTTTTATTTGCACAATGCATCCACAGAAATTTAAGCTGGTTTTACTGCACATGTAAAGCACATGAGCTTGACTATTAAAGCAAGCTCCCCTGATCCTGCAAGAAAAATCTGTAAAACGACCATTTCTTTCCCGCACATGTGCTGTTTGATTTTGATCAGCATTGTCTATCTCTTTTGCAAAGATGACTGACATTTTCATGTTAAAATTTGTCACATCATATTTGAGGATAGTGTAGACATTCCTGAAATTTATAGATAGTTAATCATTGCAGGATTAAAATTGTAAATAGTATTGCATTGAATATCAAGACTTGTGGTAGTATGTTGGGCATCAATCATAAATATCTGCTATACTCTGAAGACATTTCATCTAACCGTTGTTACTGCCTAATGTGCATGTGCCCCTTTCAATTTGGTATCATTTTGTTAGCTCTTAGTTGTCATCACATATGAAACCTAAGGAGACTTGTTGAGTGTGGGTTCCATTATATCCAGGATTGCATCACTAGAAGAACTCTTTTGTAAATTAATATTTGGTAATATTCTGTTTTTTTATGTTCTTTTATTTAGGAATCTGATTCTTTTGGTACTGGCAACGCTCCTACGGATCTCTGTGTTTCGGTACTTCCCAATTAGATATCCATTGGTACATCGCTGATTCCTGTATGTTTAGATTGGCAGATCAAAGATGAAATCAAATTCATGCCATGAATATAGAAGCAAGGACAAGGTAAATAGAGTTGATGGATCCAAACTATGTTATTCACTTTATTCTATTCATTTTCTCATACAGCCAAATTTGCATAATTTTGGCTACCTTGCACATAATTTTTTAATATACATTCTATCTGTTCAATTGTAATACTTCACGACAAAATTATCTTTACCGAAGTTGAGGTCAGTTGCCAAGTCATTGAGTTTGACCCAAAGGAAAATTGTTCAGACACTTGGTTTCCACCATCTCTTAGATTCATCTTGCGGGTATATCGCAAAATCAGTTGTTCTATGGCTCGTGAGACATTTTGATGTTAGTACAAGAAGTCTCATCTTACCAACCGGATACACTGTGACTATAACGTCACACTAAGTACATCAAGTTCTAGGAATCCCAATTTGTGGCTTCTCTCTTTCAAGTGCATCTGATGATAATATGAAAAGATTCATTACTGAGGATATCAAATGTTGTAGCAAGTACCAACGATCAATGAGCTTATGGCTATGATCACTGATGATTTAGAAGGTGACAAGTTCAAGAAGGTTTTCACACTTTTTCTTGTAACTTGCTTCTTATGTCCAAGCAATTTGAATCCAGTAGTCCAGAATTCTGTTCTCTTGTGTTGAAACCTGATAAAATTGCAACATATGATTGGTCTGGAATTGTTTTAGACAAATTGGTCGAATGTATTCACAAATTCCAGCAGTCTGAAACAACATGTTGCGTATCTGAATTATTTGGCTGTGTGTTTGTGCTAATGGTAATGGTAATTATTTCATAGTTCTTTTCTTCCTATAGCTCATGTCATTTCTCTTCATTGTTCTTTTTTTAGTATTCGCAATTTGCTTTCTATCAAATGGTAGGTAATTTATATTGAGTTCCTAGATGTATCTGGATTTTATCTTCCAAATTCGGTTCCACGTATAAGTTTGTGGACTACTGAAATTGTTACAAAGTTCACTGTTGGGACAAGCGTCCCATACAAGGTCGAGGGTGAAGGCTCCTCGGTGAATGCTAGCTGAAGAAGGCCCTGGGACAAAGGCTCCATCACGCAAGGGGGGGAGAGTGAGGTGGCGGCTAGGATTTGTGAAAAAATAGTGGGAGAGGAGAGAGCCCCTTGCCCTTATGCTCTTGGCATTATATATAGACAACGGCGATTTACAAGCGACCCTTCTGTTGGGAAGATTTTCACAAGCTACAACACTAACTCCTATTGGGCCTCTTCAAGGGGGGAGTTGGCCCATGTGAATATGGGCCCCTCATCGCATAGGAACCTATACACTCAGGAAAGCAATTTGAGATCCATCATCAAAACTCATTTACAGAGACTTCTACATATGCAGAAAGAATATTGGAAGTAAAGATTCACACAAAGATTCATTCAGCTAGGAGATGAAAATACAAAATTCTTTCACTCCATGGCCACTGAAAGGTACAGAAGGAACACAATATCCTAGATTCTTAGTCATGAGGGGAGAATGGTCACCATCAGGAGAAAAGTGCTTTATTCTAGCAGGAATTTAAGAACAGGTTGGGGGTATCTCTGAATGATGAAATCCTGTTTGATCTAGAGGATCTTATCACCCCAGTTGATGAGTTGGAAGGATTAGTCCTACCTTTTATCACTGAAGAAATTGACTCTGTCATTTTGAGTATGCCGAATGATAAAGCCCCAAGCCCTAATGGGTTTAACAGCCTCTTCTTCAAAAAGAGCTGGCATATCATTGGAGAGGATATCTATTCTTTGTGTAGGGATTTCTTCAATCATTGTGCTGATCTTAAGAGCATTAGTTCCTCTCTCATCACTTTGATCCCCAAGAAGAATAATCCTGAGATAATCAATGATTTTAGACCCATTTCTTTACTTAACACATCAGTGAAGATTCTGACCAAATTGTTAGCTAACAGGTTACAAAAGGTTATTCTCAGGATCATTCATGAAAATCAGTTCGCAAATTTGTCAGGGTATAAAGCTTTCAAATTCTGGATCAACAAGGTATAATAGGTATGATTTTCTACTTAAGTTATTACATTCATTGCTATTGAAATAGTTTCTTCTGTTTTTTATGAGATTATGTAATCAATTGTTTTTCTTACGTTACTCTATAAATTTGTTCTAAATGTTTCTTTTGTGCTATGTTAAATAACAGAGTTATTTATCTAATTAATTTATTATACCTAGTTATGTATCTAACTTGTGTTTTTATGTGTATGCTACCTAACTTATTTGATTAACTTACTATACAGAGTTATGTATATAACTTTTGTTTTCATGTGTATGCTACCTAACTTATTTGATTAACTTACTGTACTTAGTTTCATGTTTTATCACACTATGTTAGATAATCATCTTAGTTTTTCTATTAACTTATGTGTTTCTTATTGTCAACTTTGTTATTTTTATTTATTATTTTAAATGTTAAATGTTTTGCATATCTTAGTGAAGACAGAGATGGTTAATAACCTAGTTACAGAGATACTGATTAGCTGCTGTGAAGTTATGAAAGTTATTATGAAATTTTGTTATGCAAGTTTGCAACATCTTATGGAATTTGTTGTGTAGTATAGAGTGTAAAAGTTACTTTTATTTTGCTCCCCCACCTATTTTTAAACTCTTTTTCCATGTTCCCAAATGATTAGGTCTTGAAACGTAAAGAAAAATGCTAATCAATCCTAAAGAGAATGCTATTCTTGCTGCTGTTCTCAAATTTTAAATTATGCGTTGGTCTCCGTTCGAAAAAAAAAGGAAAAAATAATATTGTATAACTTAGCATGCTTAACTTATTTCTTGAAGTTATGCTGTGTAACTCAGTTAGTGTAAGTTATGCATGCGCTAAAAAAAAGAAAGAAAATGTTGGCTTTAGGTGTGAGAGCGCCCTTCGGCACGCGAAAAGAGAAAAAGATGCAAGCACGCTCGTCACCGCCCGGAAAGAAAGCAGGCGGGAATAATTATTTTCTTGAAAAGGAGTTCGCTAAATTTAATTATAGTGAGCGTTCGCCAATTAGTCAGACCAGTGAATTTTATGTTGTTGTGTGAAGTGATAATAAAATGGAGTAATTAACGTTGGTTGGTTCGTCCCTAGCAGTGGACCGGACTCTGGAGGAGACCATGGCCATCTGAAGGATCAAGGACGCAAGTATAGCAACTGTTTGGGGCTCTAGGGATTGATGACGGCACGGGCACCGACAGTGTTTTGGCCTCATGCCGGCGCCTTCAGCTGCTGCGAGAAACAGAGCCAAGACCAGCTCAGAGCTCACTACGACTGCGGTCATGGGTCAACTTGCTCCTGTTTTTTCCTCAACTCATCTGAGTAAACACTTTTTTGTTTGAACCTCATATTGTAATTACAGCTGAACAATAGTTACCGGAGATCAGAGGCCTCATCTGGTAAACTATTGAAGTGTAATCTTGTTGTCAATAACCCTACCAACGTGCCGACACGGCGATGGGGACAAGGATGCTGCTTGGCACTGTGTGCTGTGCATGGTCAGAGCTGCAGTACAGTGCAGTGCAGTGCAGATTCCTGCTTGTCGTGGCGTGTTGCTTCCTTTTGCTTTGCTTGCTGGCTTCAGGCCTCATTCGAATTCGATTCCTTCAGCATTCGGGGGACCAGGGTACTACTTGGTAGCAGCCTTGATTGGGCTGCAAAAGCAGACTTTACCGGCCGCCGTGCCACATAAGCTGGTAGGCCAGCCCATGTACAGACAGTGCACCAGCCCATGTACGCTCGCACCAATTACGGGTTGTGTCACATGAGCAGCTCTGAGTTGTGGTTCTCTCTTCCTCTTAGTGGAACACATGCTCGCTAGCATAGTACTCCCTCCTTCTAAGTTTCATAGGCGTACTAGCTTGGGAAAAGTTTTCAAGTTTTACAAGCGCACAGCTCCTGCATGCTGTTGAATGCCTCGTTTGCACTGCATGCAGTTACTGTGTCTTCCTGTATTCCCGGCCGCTCGCTTGTTTCCAGTGCATTGCATGGAAAGCGCGCAGTATACAACCCGACCGCTCGCTTGTTTTTCTCTCTCACCAGCTACACTAGCTTCCTCTCTCCCTTGGCTCTCCCCAACAGACTACTTCTAGCTCTCGGCCATGGAAGAACTGGCACCGGCCATGGAGGGCGAAGTGCCGGTGTCGGCCACACTTCCCTCTCCGCCATGCACTTCTCTGGTAGAAACGCTTAGCCCGCCTCTGGTGGAGACACCTAGCCCCTCGCCAGCGAAGAATGCGGCCACCTCGCCTGTGTTCATTCGTGGCCTCAACTTTGTGCCAGACTCCGAGGATGAAGCAGAGAAGGATGTGGTGGCCGGGGACGAGAAAGAGGTCACTGCAGCCGAAAGCAATCATGTCACCATTGATCGTGAGGAGTGGCGACGCCGTCGGGGCATCGGGGTCCCGTGCTCTCGCTGTGGTCTTATACACGAAGAGTATAGGCTGACGTCTTGGATCTACGGCTTCAAGGAGTTCGACTGCAAGGTAATCTTCCCTAACATCGACGATCTAAAGATGGACGGCACCACCATATTGCTTCCTGCGCATATATGGATGACCGAGAGTGATGCTGATATTCCAGACTCGATCTAGAGTGGATGTGGTTGATGATTAAAGTATTTGATCCATGCTAGTCTTTTCTTTACTCAATCGGTGTAACCGGACAAGAGTACTAGAGTGTCTATCTATTTGATTTTGCTTGAGTTGTTAACGCTAATGTACCAGAAATAATTATCCATTCGAAAAGGTACTCGAAACATGCATTGCTTACCTTCTGTTTTAATCTAACACCATGACATGCAAAAGACAATCTAAACATCATGCCTAACAGAAGCTAACAGCACACAGAAGCTAGCGGAAAGAATAGAATATCAATACTAGCACTACAGTGCCATGCAACACTAGAGAACAGCTCTATAATTAAACGAAGCTAGCTTACCCTGGGCGTCGTGTGCTTGCTGCTCTTCCTGGGCGCCGTGTGCCTGCTGCTCTTCCTGGGCGCCATATTCCTGGACTACCTGCTTCTTCCTGGGCGCCATGTGCCTGCTGCTGTTCCTGGGCACCCTGTTCTTCGTCACCTACATCAGCGTGATCTTCAACTAGGAAAGCAAAAGGAAAAGAGAAGTCAGTGTACGGATATCATATAAGTCTGCACAAACAAGTTGATTCAGGAGTCACCATTTTCTACATCGTCCCACGCTAAGTGGTAATCGAGCTCATGTGCAGGACCTTCCCACTCGTCGATGGCATCCCAATCGATCGAATTGCCATTGAGGTCCCAATACGTCGGTGGTTCTTGATTGAGATCAAATCCTAGTTGTGCCATGGATTAGAGAGAGGTGGGTGGTTGTGGTCTTTCTACCAGAGAGTTGAGCTTAACCTATGCCAGGACGACGGAATATATAGAGCCAAGATAGCTTCGAAATTTCGGGTGCAAATTGGCTTTTGGCGCGTGCTGTTGTATACGTAAAGCGCGGTGATTTTTGGTACTGAAATCGGCTTCAAATTTTGGCCAGCAAACAAACTACGCGGGGCGTGCGAGTTTGGCGCGCGGCCGTTGCTCCAGTTTGGTACGCGGGCGTACAAGCATGAGGTTGGCGCGTATACAGCTGTATTTTTCGCGTAGAGGCGTCCGGGGCGTGGAAACCGAACCGTTGGCACTCAGGAGTTAATACGTGCCTTGGTCTCGGTGAAAACTGCTTAGGCACCTGTGAATCTTAGAAGGAGGGAGTACAACATGAGTTTGGGTGTACTAAGAAGATGTACACTGCTAATCATCAACTTCTCCCACGAGTAGGATTATATACAAATAGAAGCTATGCTAAACATGATCTAGTACAATGACTATATTACTTTATATACAGTTGAAGACTTGAAGGAAAACATGCCCAACTCCAAACTTTCACTTCTCACCCTCGCCCACACTGGTTGGTCTGGTGTAGTGGTAGATACATATTAGGGGGCGATTCGACACCACTCAGGCGTCGACAAAGAGAACAAACAGTACTGTATATATGTAGAATCCACCACAAC